ATATAAGTATTACTTCGGTATATACGCACAAAACTGGGTATTTTTTTTGTTTTTTTGTTTTGTAACAACTCATATAATGACAGTTTTAATGCCTGCGGTTGTAAATCACAATAAAAATTTATGTGATAATATAAAAATCTTAAGATAAAGTTATATTAGCGCTCGAAACAACTAAAATTCAATGTCTCAAAATAATAATCATGATTCAACAGAAAGTTGACTACCTCTTTAGTTAAATTCAAAAAAAAAAGTTGAAGAGCTTATTAAAATTAGTGTTCTTATTGAGAAGAATTATTTGAACTTATTTTGAATATTTCTCAATCGCATCAATGAATAAGAAAATAAGAATAGTATAAAAAAATGATTAAGATCAAAAATTTTTGCAAACCACTACACATAATCAGTAGTTCCTCATAAGATTAAGAAGATAGTATCTATATTCATTTTCTCAAAATATCTTCTTTCTCTTATCTAAATTATTGTATCAGTACCTTGTCATAAAAATAAATGATTCTCATTTCTCAGTATACAAAACAGGTTTTTTCTTTAAAGCAGGACTGATTTCATTTCTTATCATACTACTAAACTTGACGAATCAATCAATAACTTGAAAAAAGATACCAACCTATATAATTATCTAAGTTACACCTACGAGATGAAAACAACAGAATGAACTATGTAGAGACGATGATTTTTTTTCCTAACCAAGCGAAGAAAATTGTTTATCACCCGGATAATCATCAATATAAAAGTAAAAAGTAAAGTGTTGACTTGTTTTTTTTTTATACTGTCAAACTCATTATTTGATTTTCAAGTAGACTGATTGATTGTATAAGTACATAGCAAGTGTTTTTCTATTGTACGCATTGTTTTAATCATTAGTGTATTTAAAATTAAATCTTCCTTTTAAAGAATAAACACTAGAGTAATTATAAGAAACAACTGAATCGATTATGAAGGGTTAATATTGATTTAATGGTTATACAGAACAAAAAACTGCCGTATTATCTAGATGTAATATTATATATCTTTCTCTATTATTGGAGTACTCTTTAATACTTTGAGTTTGCATCTTTCGAAAGTTATAAACAATAAATGAAGTACTTAAAATTTTCGACTTCTTTAACTTACGTGAGAACAAAAAGAAAAAATATTGAAATACATTTTTTTTCTTCCTTGCTTAGTGTTGCTAATGTCAACATACATTCTAGACTCAACAAGATGCTTTTTTTACGTTTTACATTCAAGTTGTAGGTTTTTTCGCTTCAACAAAAAAAAATGGTAATATATGACAACGTGTAGGGAACGAAGAAACAATTTCAAGTATTTTGCCTAGACAACCAACATATATTTAGTTATCGACAAGATGAATAATTATTGTTACTAAATGTGGTATTTCACCTTTGTAATAAACATAGAATATATTATGTTTTAGATACGAAGGTAATGTGTGATATATTTTCAATGAGTATAATTTGTACTTTAGTGACGAAACATTTTTTTTTACCGATGTGTCTCCCTCGATGTTTTATTTTTCTTTTTTAGTATAAAGTATTTCTTCATTTACCAATCATACAAAGAAATTAAAGAAATTGATAACCATATGCTATAACAAAAAAAAGCTTCTGCAAATATCATACGTAACTTTCATTATTAGAAAATGTAATTATGATAGAATTGGAATTGATTAAGATAATATCGATAAAATGAGATATTCCTGATTTTAAAATAATGAAGATGTATATTTGAGTTTATAACTTCTATGTATATCTAAACAAAAACAAAATTAAATATAAGTTTTATCAAAAAGTTGTTTTTCTGTTATAATCTCTTGCTTTATTTTTTTATTACCAAGATAAATGTATTTTTCAAAAGATCGAGAAAAAAAAAATGAATCTTGCAAAAAAAAAGCTTACAATTATATTCTAATGTATCACAATCAGAAGAATTCCTTGTTTGATATCTTTCATCATTATTCTTGAAAAATTAAATAATCGATGCAATTTACTGCTATTTTATTGTAATATAGTGCTGATTTTCAATTATATGGCAAAAGAAAAAAGAAAACATATCAGTTATTTGCAAGGCTAAATCGAATATATTTTAGTCTATATTGTTGAATGTTTTCTTTTGTCAGGAACTGTACGAATAGTAAATGAAGTGTTATTATTACGAACCAATGCAAGTGTATGTACAATTTTGTCCTATAATTTAATCGATTTACATTAATAAATCTTAATTTAAATTGAGTAGGTGTACCAATAAAAAGTAATGAAATCCATATAACCGATGATTTAGTAAAACAAGTAAAAATGAAAGTAATTAATGATGGTATAACATAATATTTACCTCGAAATGCTGAAATAAACAATACAATAACATATGGAATTTTCAAGTAAAAATAAAACGTAACGTCGTAATAATAATACCTGTGTTGCAAAAATAAAACAAAACTTTTTTTTAATATTCTCTTTTAATAGTTTCTTACTTTTAACAATACGTTTTCGTGTAAATATTATATGTATAACATGTTTAACTTTTACATGCATTTGTTTAAAAACCATTTAAAGTAATAGTATTGGTTGCAATAAGTATTACAAATGGAATAAAATAGACAAAAAGAAAAAAATATAAACGGTATGTAAGAGAGACGTCGATCATACCAATTAATACAACATGAAGTACGAGTTCCATATAAATATATATGAGCTATCGTAGATTTTAATCTTGAGTCTAAAAATTTTATTTTAAAACAAAACCTGAGATGTATACAAAAAAACTTAAAATCTTTTGTTTATTATAACTCTAATATATGCAAGTAGAGAAATACACAAAATAAAAACGTACTTCGATAACATATTCATTTCATTCAAAAATTGGCACCAATGATCAAATAAAAGCAATAAACACAATAAAATATAAAATCATTACAGATTTTCAAATTTATATTGATTTTATTGTTTTTATTTTGGATTATGCATCTATCAATTTGTTATTTATAGTAACATTATTAGCAGCAAATGGACACATTAATAATATAACATCGACTAAGATTTACTACACAAAGTAAATATGAACTTGAACATCCATAGAAAAATACAATAACAGCATTAAATTGACATCCTGCACGCTTATATAACCATTTACAATAAACTGATGATGTATCAGTCAATGGAAGAATTGTACATGATGCCAAAAGACTCATAATTGAAATCAACATAACATGTATATTAGGTGATGTACTAAGAACTTTATATCGAATAAAACTGTAAACAAGAGCTCTATTTAAAAAAATACTAATAACAGCTACAATACATAAGAATATACTCATAATTCGAACAGTACTACAATATATAAAAGTTAATTGATTTCAAAATTAAGGATCATCAGGCAAAAGATCTCATAAGACCTAAAACAACTACTGAAAATTTCAATATATTTAGAGATTTTCTCTTGTTCTTTGCACATGAAGAAAGTAACGTTTGCATGACTTGCATTCACAAAGATAGACATTCTGCAACAATGAGTTTCTTCCCATACGTATTATTTATTAATTGACTATAATAATTAGCATAGTTTTAAGGGAATATGTCAGTCTAAAACATAAAGATCTGAATGTATCCAAGGATGAGATAAAATGAATTATTCTAAATTTTATTATATTATTATCTAATTCTAATATAACTTTCGTGGAATTCATCTTAATCTCTTTACAAACTATTTATCTTTTGCTATAATTTGTTTTAAATTGCGAAGAAATAGATGATAACAAAGTATTAAATCATTGTGAAATGATATTTCAATTTCATTATCAATGTTTTGATATTGTTAATCAGCACAATGTTTATAATTTGTATGATTTTTATTTTATTCTATATTTTAAAAGATTTCTTTAATAAGTATCTACATTTTTTACTTGAATACAATTATTTATATTTTAATTTAGCAAATTTTTCTTTATTCATCAATAATTTCTAATACTTCCCAAGTTCTTATATATCTCATCTGTCAAAGAAAGAAATTTAATTGCTTTTAATAAAAATATTCCAAATAAATTAGACTAATATCTTATAATAATCCATCAAATTCATATTTTTAATTAAGTCATGAATAAAACAACAAGAGATTTCATGATAAGAAAAAAAAAACATCTTATCATTTGTCTCATCATTAAATTATTTTGTGGCATTTCTGCCATTTATCAATTTTATCTATGACTATCAATGTCTTTAAGCCGAAAAAGAATTTTCATACACGAAAACAAACAAAAACAAAATGAGAGAAATTGTTCACAAAGAAGACAAGAAAAAAAACGAAGAACGACAACACATGCACACAGCAAACACGATTAAATATTTATATAAAAAGTACTCACTACATTATAATAGGATAATACACTTGCATACGAACAAAACAGACACAAAAAATATTAGATATATCATATATTGGAAGACTAAAAACAGAGAGAGAGAGAGATGAGAGACAAAACATTTGAGATTATTATTTATATATATTTTTATGTAAACGACTAGATGATTATTATTATTATTATTATTGATTTGATGATATTAAATCAGCAGTTGTCAATGGTCCTTCAAGAAATAATTGCCGAACATTTAATAAAGCTGATAATTCAAGTATCATTTTATGTATTTGAACATTTTCAAGAAGATCATTAGATAATTGAGGTTGAGATGATGGATAAAAACCAGATCCCTAATATATATATATATATATACATATGGTTTTTTTTTATTTCAAATAAAATTATTACCTTAAATGCTCGATGTAAACGAAGTACAGCATAGCAAAAAACAAAACGTGAAAGAAATAAACGTAAAAATTCATCAACAAAAAAATGATAAATTGTACTGTCTACAAAAAACAATATCATTTATTTTCTACTAACCAAAAAAAAAAAAAACAAATAATTCTTCTTACCAACAAGTTTTGATTTTAAAAATAATTTTGTTATTTCAAATATAATTTTATTAATATGTTCTTGACATAAATTCCATTGTTCATTTGTTAAATCATTTAAATGACATACAAAACAAAATGCAAATATAGGTGATGTTAAAAATAATGTAAATAAACTTCCTTTATTTTGATAATCTATTTAGAAACAAAAAAAAGTTTATTAATAAAAACAAAATCTTAATATTTTTGTTTTTATTACCATGAAATACTGTTGGTAATTTAATAGGTGATAATAATGATACAAATGGTTGACCAAATAAATTAGGCATATTTTGAAAAGCAATACTATTATTACTATCAATTATTAAAAATAATGGTTTACGTAAAAATGGATAAAGATCTCCTGGAAATATATTATGAATATCTTTAATTGATCCTATTGTTGTTGTTGTTGTTGTTGTTGTTGCTGCTGTTGCTGATGATGGTGAAGATTTTTTTCCTAATGTATTTGTTGTTGATGTTGGTGAAGAATTAGAATTTTCAATTGTATCATCACGACGATTATTTGTTTTAACACCACCAAAATCATATGATTGTTCAATTTTACTTTTTAAATGTGTATCATAACCATCAGCTGAAATATAAAGTAGAAGAATACCATGATTTGGTAATTCTTTAAATGCTGAAGCAGTAAATGCATAGATTTGACTAAAATTTGGTTTATATAGAAGATATTTATGAGGATTTGGTCGATGTTGAAAATCACCATCGGATAGATTCTAAATGATAAAAAATTAAGATTTTAATAATTAGCTTGAACAAAAATACATATTTTTGGTTTTGCTCAAATCTATTGACAAAAAAACGATTGAAAATAGATGAAAAGTTATTATTAATTTTTTAAAAGTTCGTGTGGGTGTAGGTCTTCCCTACTTACCATCCACGCCCAAAGTAGGATTTATCCTTCATTAGAAGGCTATGGATTTTCCAAAACCTTGCTTTGAAAATCCAGTGAGTTTTAGCATCGAAAAATCTGGTTTTCTAGCACTTAGCTGCTATTAAAACCTATTTGAATATCAGAAAAGTTCTTCAAAAACTCTTGATTTTCTAGATAAAAGTTAACAAAAAAAGCTGGCTCGTAATAGATGACTACCTTTGGAAGAGGAAGTTTAGTATCATATTTTCGTATTATTACGAATTCTTCGAAAATAAAATTTTTTTTTTTACTTGAATGAATGACGCACGCTAAACTGCAAGAAGAAAATAGTCGAAACATTGCTGAAATTATTCTTTCAAGCTATGACACTAATCTTTAGTAGAAAACAATACTTAAAACATTTATATTCTTATGTATTCGAATAAATTTACACTTCAATATCTGAACAAATTTGGAAAACATCTAATTTTCTTCAGGAATATTTATTGTTCATTCTAAATTAATTTGATGTTTTCAAAACTAAACTCGCTAAACAGAATATACGACATAACGTTTTTATAGTGCGCACACCACTCGAACTTTTATCTGAAGGATATTACCGAATAAAATAATTAGTTACTGTTTATTTTTCTTCTTGAAAAATTAACAATTATTAAAATATAGTGAAGTATCCATTATAGAACTATATGACAGTGCCCAAAGGGGAAAATTTTACTGTATTGTAAATAAATCTAATTTTTATCTCTCTTTTCAATAAACTTGAATTAATCAAATACTTAAATACAAGAAGAAACAATATGGAAATAAAACAAGAATTTCAAATAACTATTGTTCATTTAAAAAGTCGGTGCGTCTAACTATTTTTTGAATAACTCGAAAACAACAAGGAAATCTGCGATTTTCATCATTTGAACGAGCGCGATATTGGGAGTATCTATTTGAGTAAGACTCACTAAGTTTGAAGGGTTCTTTCGAATAGTAAAAACCGCAGGTGTCTATTCCTGTTTATTCTCGAGTTATTTAGAAAATAGTCACACGCACCAACATTTTTGAATGAACAATAATTATTATAAGAGTCATGATAATATTTTCAACATGAATGCACATTATTAATAGGAAAAATGTCTCCTGTGACAATTATAAAAAATAATAATAATTAATTAAATATCCTTACATAAATGTCACGTTGTTGATGATTTGTTGACGTTGGAGATTGAACAGTTGTTTTTTCATCATAAATTGATGTCGATTCAATTGGTTGTTTTTCAACAGCTTGTAACATTCGATACATATCAATTGTAACTAAACAAACAAACAAAAAATTAATGTTCTTATCTAAATAAATCCAAAAAAGAAAAAACAAAAGATAAATTTTTGTTTTACGTTCACTAAATTTAATTTGATCTTGATAATTTCCAATAATAAGAATTTCTTCAACTGTATATAATTGTATATTAGATAAAATTTTTTCTGAACCTATTGGTAATGGTGGTATTAAAGAATTTGTTAAACGATATGATAATGTTATTGGTATATGATCAATATTTAATTGATTATCAATATCAATAAATGTTGATATTTCATTTAAAACAAGTTGCCATTCAAGACTATCATCTGGATCATATGCTTTAACATATTCATCGATTTGTCGATTTAATTCACATACTAATTCACGCATAATTTTTGTTTTTTTTAATAAAAGACAAACAACAATAAAACGTGCATAATAACGTAATTTTTTAACCATTAAATCAGGTTTTTCTTCACGATTTACTTTTGAATAATAGGCACGTGTACGTATAGCTGAATAAAATGCACAAGCTTCATTTAAATAATTTGTTTCTGATGTACGAATATAAAAATGATAATAAAGTTGACCTATTTTTGATGCTATTTCACCTATTTGCCAACGTTTAAGATTATATTTTTTATCGAGAAGAACTCTAATGATTAAAAAAAAGCAATGAAATTTAATTAAAAATAAAAAACAAAACATTTTTATACCGATGTTGTTGTTGAAATTTCCATAATTTAGTATATACATCAAATGTTCGTCCAAAATATGGTTGCCATTGTTTATGACCATATTGTGGAAGATCTCTGAAAGAATAAAAAACAACAATCTATAGATATAGAAGAAAACAAGATTAAACAATATCCTTCAAAAGCAGGAAATTGTTTCATTGCTAGCAGAAAGATTTCAAGCCAAAGAAAGTCAAGCGGAAACGCTTTTTTGTTTTTAGGAAACAGCATCCATTATTTCAAATCATTCACACTATAGAAAATCGAATACTCACAAAGGAAAAATCATTCATCCATTTCTATATTTATAAATAGAAGTGAAAAATGAAATAGAGTGTATGGAGTAAAGTGATTGATAGATATATGTTTATATTATTATTTTTCTTTTATGTATTTCTCTTTGATATGTGTAACTTTATGTGAGGTAAACCATTTTTGCATAAATGGGAATA